ATGGTAAGTTACCGGTAAGTTACCAGTAACTTACTATTTTGGTAACTTACGTAAATTACCGTAATTTTACAACCCTGGCTAAAAGCAAATTATCGGCTTAGCCAGTCGATTTTTTTAAAATCGGCTGATCGATTTTATTACTAGGATTGAACATGAGCAAAGTTGAGGTCAAAAAATTTTCAGTAAAGTTCGAATTAAATGGTGAAATTTTAAAATCGGCTAAGCCGGCTAAGCTGGTAAATTTATCGGCATAGTCATAGCCGAAAAATTTTGATCGGCCAAAATCACTATTAGTGATCTTGGCCGATAGTGAAAAAATCGGCTAAAAGCAAATTATCGGCTTAGCCGGTCGATTTTTTTAAATTCGGCTGATCGATTTCATTACTAGGATTGTAACATTCGAGGTGGAAAATGAATGAGGCCAAAAATTTCAGTAAAGTCCGAATTAATTGGTGTAATTTTAAAATCGGCTTAGCCGGCTAAGCCAGTAAAATTTATCGGCTTAGTCAGCCGAAAAATTTTGATCGGCCAAAATCCGGATAGATTATCAGTAGTATTTTATCCAATCAAATAACTTTTTATTCTTTTATTAACATGCCTGAAAATACTAAAGAACAAAATACTTCAACTAATAATACCAAACTATTCTCGCAATCGCTTTCCAATGGCAAAAAAAAAGTACTGGAAGAAGTTTCCAATTCTACAAACGATTTTCTTCATGCAATTATACCAAGGGATGGAAAAAGTGCAACGGCAAATTTATCTACTTTAATGAATAACATTACAACTCAAAAACCCGGGTCCTCCTCAACACCAACCACATCGTTTTTGCAAGAAGAATGGATAACGGGACAAATATACGAAGACAAACAACCTGAAAAGTTTGCTATAAGCCAATCGGTTAATACTAACTTTAACGATGCTGAATGGGGGAATTGGATCAACTCTTCCGAATATTCTGACTTCGATAATTTTGGTGAAATACCTAAACATAAATATCCTTTTCATCATCACTTTCACAAGCAGGATTCTTTTCACAATAGTTATCAACAAGGCGATGGTATCGAAATTATCGATCTTTTAACCTCTTCAAATTACACTGACGAAGTATATGATTTTAACATTAAGGATGAGGATCACATTACTTCCAGCTCTCTTAACAAATACAAGTCTAAATTGGATGACTTTTTGGAAACACCAGATATTTTGTCATATTTAGCTCAAGTAAGATACACAGATGATGTATATGGAATGCCCGTATTTTTGAAAAGACTAGTTAATGAGGCAAAAGATGAAATTTTAAATGAACAGGAAAAGGTAAATGAAAGTCATCGTAAGACAGCAATAGAAAGGTTAGAAATGGTGAGAAAACATTTGGTTAAAAAAAAAGAGCAGAGTGCAGACAATGAGATGCGCGAATGGTTAGATAATTGGACTGAGAAAGATATGGAACGAGTTTGGATGTAATTAGATTAGACAATAGATCGTCTACTTTGTTATAATTTACTGTTAATTAATAAAATTTTAAATAATTATGAAATTTTTTCTTTATTAAAACGCTGTCACCTGAACCATTCAATCATCATAAAACTGACAAGCCATCCTATCGATGCCCCTAAGAAAGCAGATATAAATATATGTCTGTCAATTTCACTTTGACTAAGTTGAACACGATCACTTCCTCCCGCTAATTTTTCAATTTCTCTCATTGGAGGGTTGAGTTCTTTTTGTGTTATAGATAATTTAGGATCAATGCTATCATCATTGTCAACACAATCAGAAAATTTACCAAATATCGGCGTTAATGATTGTTTCAATTCCTCTACTTTTCCTTCTAGATTTTCAAACCTTTTCATAAACGTATGAACAATTCCGGTTTCCGATTTACCTTCTTCTTCATTTGTTCTTTGAATAAGTAATTCTTCAAATTTATCAGCAAGCTTTTGCCGTTTTCTTGGCTCAAAGATAGTTTGCACACCAATAAATAATATTACATTGAGTATCATTAAAGCAACCGTACCGTATGTAGATGCGCTACGGATCTTATCACTCCAGACCTGTTCTTCATGATATCGTAACATAATTGATCTTGTTAACTCTGTATATTCTTGTTCAACTTTTTGTTCACATTTCTGAAATTCTTCCCTGGCTGATGATTCAATTTGTTCGTTCATGTGTTCATTTTTGTAAAGTTGCGTAAATCTCATAACATCGTCACTTGACCATTGATGTTTACGTTGAAGCAATTCATTGATTTCGCGTTGCGTTGCGGATCGCGCCGCAATAATTTCTTCATATGCAAGTTTAGTGGCTGCAAGACATTTTCGTGCTGTCTCAAATTCTTTCTCTATTTATCGAATTAAAATGTAATATATGTAAAATGTATAAAATGTAAATGATGATAATTTTATTAATAATAAATAATTTTAAATCAAGGGAATAAGAGATTACCCCTCTGAATCACCTTTTCTTTTAAGTTCTCCACTACACTGTATCCTGTTAATCTATTTAAATTATTAGATGCAGTGGAAAGTACATCCTGAACACCATTAACTTTCATAGCTTTAGTAAATTCGTTTATTTGCTTAAGTAATGGTTGTTTTTGGGAGTTGGACTTAGGTTGAGATATTATATCCGTGGAAGCTTGCACTTTGGAAAGAAACGAGGATAAACTTGTGTGCAATTTAGATGCATTTTTGGATGCATTTTTAATTTGTTGAAAATCTGAATGCTCTTTTGACTTTTCGTCTGTTGAATAACCATTATTTAGTGAAAATTTTATAAGACAATTAAAAGGTTTCCTATAAATTATGCAGTTATGCTGATCACGCGGTAAAATCGAAGTCTGTGATACGGCATATTTGCATAACGACTTCATGGAATTTCGAAGTGTGGGAAACATGCAAAATATTCTCGAACTTTTTGATTCTATATGCAGCCCGAGACTTAATTGATGATCTATTTATACGAAAAGATTAAATTTCTAAATTTAGTATATACTTGATTATTGATGAAATGCACATGTACCTTACAGGTTATCTTGCAACTTTGAAATTTTGGCGGGTTGTTTTTATCTATGACATTATTAAAATAAAGTACGAAGTAGGTATATTTAATACACTGTAAAACTCTTATGCATAATTTGAATAACATAGAAGTAAAACAAGAATCAAACACTACCCTTTCATCGGAACTATAGCCTTCAACAACGGTCAATGATATGATATGTATGCACCCTCTGCTGACGATTCAATGTACACAGATTCCTCACCAGCAGAAACTAGTAACAACGAATATGAAAATGGTCAACATGGAATTGGTGCGGTAAGAAGTATTCGGGTTAGTTGCGTTTAATTATTTTCAGATCCAAAAAAAAAAAAACCCTACCCTTTAGTTTTAACATTTTTGTTTGCTATTTAAACCTATTACATTATTTTTTATACGAAGGATATACTTAATGCTGATAGTCAGTCACCTATTAAACGTGAAGAACCCGAAGTAGATGTAACTGGTGAAGAACCTTCTGCGACAGAAGACCAACCATCACCTCTAAAATTTGATGATCAATTTGGGGAAGTTGTTGACGAAGAAAGAGATAAAATACAAAGACTGAATATGCGTCATCCCCATAATAATACTGCCGTTAGAGATTATCTAAATAAAACCGTTGTACCTAGTCTTATGGCAGGACTAAAAAAAATTGTTAGAGAAAGGTAATGTAATTTTTCGTAATTCGATTTCATATAAACGTTTTAACGAATATAATAATTTAATTTTTTTTTTTTTTTTTAAACCAAAAAAATTGGTGTAATTAAAGGCCGACAGATCCATGCGAATTCTTAGGCAGATATTTAATTGATCATTGTCAACATGATCATACTAAAGACGAATATGGTTCAGAAATGCGAATAAAACATGAAGATACTGATGATTGTGAACGAGCAACAACCCGACAGAAACAAAGAAGAGATAGTAATTCAAGTTTGGACGTAGGTTCAGAAATGGATGTTGATATGATATTGAATCCTTAATCAAATACAGGTTGAATATTATTATTATTTTTTTTTTTGTTGCAATAGGTTTTTAAAGACTCATAAAAAGAAAGCAATAATAAAAAGATCTGTTATATATTTTAAACCTTTAGTCTTTTGTAAACGATACTTTGTGTGATACCATTTTATCACAAAAATTGTATCATTCTACGGGCCGCAATAAATTTAAATAAAATAATATTTCATATATAAAAATCTTTGATTATTTAAAAATTTTCTGTACATGAATACTTTAATTGCTTAATTAAATAAAAGTTAGTACATATGTGATCGAAATTAAGTGAATTTTGTAAATCTATGTTGATATGCTGGCAAAAAATTAATGGAAATCAAGTTCTGCTATCTGATAATTATTAAGATATAAACAATTCACTTTGAATATTTTAAATTTATGGTGCAGCTGATAATGTATCTGATGTTGTCCAATCAGGTACTTGTCCTGTATATTTCTCTCTAGTGATTTCAACAACAGTGGATTTGAGTGATCCAATTAAAGAACCTGAAGTATCATAAAATTCGGTAAGTAAATGCTTTATTATCAGTAAAAGTATAACATTTAAACGTAAATTAGTTTGAAATACTTTACCACCAACCCATGCTCGACAATTGGCCACAAAAACTTTACCACTTCCATTGTCTTCTAAAAATTCGAAATGATCTGCAAGTCCACTTAAAGGTTTAAACCTTCGATCTTTATTCAAAGCACGAAGGACTTCTTGTGCAAACCTTTGCTGAAAATTGGGAAGTAATGTTGTTCCACCGATAAGCAGAATTGAAGAAAAAAGAGGGCGACGTAGATGCATTGGTGTCTAGTTATTAATTGATGAATAAATTGTTTGTTTAGTAAAAATTTTTCAATATTATATTATTACTTAGGAATTATTGAATCTTAATACAGACCTTTAACAAACATTCGAGCGCACATCCAACTATACTAGATTCATCTTCATCCCCTTCAAAAAGAACTTCTGCACAACGTTCTCTAATCCAACTAGGTATAATTAAAGTTCCCAATTGTCGTTCTCGTCCATTTTTACTTATAGTAATGGGATATGACACTTCTGTTGCGGAACTAACTGAAGAATATTTTTCTTCCATATCTTCGACTAACGTTTTTTCAGCAACTCCAACTGTTGCTTCAACTGTTATTGGACTTACAAAAATAAACCGAGTTTTAATATCCTCAAGTACAGCGGGTGTAAGGTATTTAGCATGAACAGGCTCTAAGTGTGTCGAAGGTGGAATAATCATGCTACCATAAGTAGAAATTAACTCCTTGAGCCGTTGCGTTAACGCACGGCCTGCTAAAGGTGTTGTACGAACAAAGGGTGTCAAAGGTCGTGCAGAAAATGTCTATAATCAAAATAAATAATTTAATTTTAGATGAAAAGCCAGATAAATCAATTTTATTGCTAACTTACTGGTAGCACAGTCGTTTCTAAATGTCCAACGTCTATTACTAAACCTGTCGTACAGCCTGTAGTTAACAAGGCTAACATATGCGACGGAGCGAAAGAAATAGATGGCACCTACAATTTAAAAATAAAATAGTATTAATAACCATAATTATAAATAGTATAAATTAATCATATGAAAAGTTGTATGAAAAAGTTACATGCCTGTAAATTTTCAAATAATACTTTTGCAATCAGTTGCTTCAATTTTAAAGGCATCATCGGTGATTCGCATAATACGACTTTGCGCTGCTTAGGATCTGTTAATAGGTATCTTAAAAATAGTAAATGGATAAAATTAAGAAAGAGAACGACATGGGTATAACAAATGATTCATAGTTGAGTTCTTTACATACTTGAAATAAATCTCTCTTAAATAATGTGCCAAACGATCATATAAAGAATCCAATTCATCGGGACATTTTCCGATTTCTAAGTCGTATAATTCGGCAAACTGTATTATGTCAATTTATCATTCGAAGAAAATCGCTAAAATGAAGTAACAATTTTCTTAAAAGTACGTATCATACCTCGCCAATGGTTCTACAGCCTTCTCCACAGGATTTCATAACGCCTCCACTTCCATTAAAATCAGGATCCCAATGGGTTTTCATATTACCAGCAAACACAGGAACAATGTGTCTTGGCCTAGATTCACCACTAAAGCCAGCTTTAATATATAAGCTTCCTAGATCTAGCACGATCCTATCTTCACCAGTTCCATAGATTGAATGACGACGTGGGAGAGCCGTTGTCAAAGAGCTGCTAGTAGTAAAACTACTACCTACCGAGGTAGAAGGGAGGACTCGACTTATGGGTGTAGCAGAAGCCATTGTTCGTGCTTGCGATCCGCCAGCTGTAGCGGGAGTTGAGGATGAAGTATTATAAGTATTATCCATTACAAAAATGTCTCGAGTGTAATGCCCGGTATTGATTTTGCTGCACATTTTGTGGTTCATGCATGTGATCTTTCAACAAAGGAACAAAACTTACGTTTTTGATACTCCCGCTAAAAATTTTTATACCGAAACTCTATTAAACCACGTATCGGTTTTCATATCACCAACTAACCTTTAGTGATCCGACGACCCGGGTTTTAATTTTTTCTTAAAAAATTTTTTTTTTAAAAAAATTTTTCGTGAAAAAACTTATATGCTAAAGAATTTTTTTAATAATGATGTACGAACAGATTCGTATTTTACATAGTCTATCAAGTAAAAATCAGGTATGTAGCTGCGCAACGTAATCGTGCTTAAACCAGGAACGTTAGACTCGTATTAAGGATCACAGGTGTAGTGACAAACTTTCTTGTAAAAACCCGATTATCAATTATGCAATCTTGTCAATTGATTCGATCTGTTTATATTTCTTAAACGCTGGTTGGCTTATATACGTGATTTTTTTTCATTGAGCATCCTTATCTCCGGTCCTAAATAACCATTGTTCTTGGATCTGTCTTGCCAAACAGACTTGGGACTTCGAATGCATGTAAAGCATGCATTTTTTATTTTTTATGCTATATCTAAATATACTAAATGCACGTGCAGATGCGAGTCGAAGTCCCAAGTCTACTTGGGACCGAGCATTTAACTTATAGGACTGGACCGGACTTTTCACATCCCTATCCTTATCCTCTTAATACTCAATTTCTTTTTTGGGTTTGTATTACCCACCCCCTAGGCATGCCCAAAAAATTTTCCCATGCCCCCGCCCTACCGCTACGTACTTGTTCGAGTGAGCCAAAAAAAGAAAATAACACGCAAATTAGCTTGACGCGTGTGAAAAGAAAAAAAAGTAAGAAAGTGAAACTATAAAACGCATTATTTTTCGAACAAAAAATCTTTACGTTACGTTTCCTTTTTATATATAAGCCCCCTTAATATTCCCTAGATTTTCTCATACTTTTTCTTTCTTATCTTGATAGTTTATACACTTTACCCGCTATTTTATACACACGTTTACGTTGTTTTTTTATTTATACACTTTATACGTACGTTTGTACGTTTGTTTATACGTTCGTTATACACACGTTTACGTTTGCACCTCGACGACCTCGATGTTTTCTTGAATATACAAATATACGAATATTTTTTAAGATAGGTGTTTTAATCTGCATACGCTTGTGTTCAGTTGCTATGCCCGTTTTAACTTTTCGTTTCTGAAAGATTCCCAATATGGGTTTCTTTCAATAGGTAAGTATTTTATCTTCTGGTCTTACTAGAGTGTGTGGCACAGCGGTCATGGGCATGCCATAGGGCATGCCCAAAACAAAAATAGTCTATAGGCATGTCTCTTATATGATACGTCTCGCTCTGGCTAAACTGATATTTGGATATTCCGAAATATTCCGAGTAGAAAATCAGACAACATAAAATTACAAGAGAAAATTGAAGCAAAGATCGGAAGATGGTTCAATTATATTATGGCATGCCTATAGTATGGCATAGCATAAATTTTGACTAATAGCATGCCAAATTTTTTTGCCGTGCCACACACCCTAGGTCTTACTCGCTTGTGCCGAGTAAGATACCAGTTACATTCCTCCTGGCGGGCCCTTTTTAACTCTAACAAGGGTAAGTATTCGTCAATTTATGACATCCATGTCTGTCATCAATCTATGACACCCATGTCTGTTAGGGTTATTTTTATTTTTCGTAAATATTTCTTCTATAAGCCAGGTTATAGAAATAAAAACATTTACACCAGAGGTTTTAGTGAGTAAAACTCTCACACTGTCTAGGGGGGTAATACCTTCTATTTGCCTTTTGAAGGTTTCCTCTGGCTAAAAAAAAAAAAAAAAAAGTTACGCTTAAATTATTTTAAATTACGCTATTTAAAATTGGAAGATGTTGCCGATACCGAACTACTAAGTGTATAGTAAACACGGAATAAATCAAGGATAGCATGGAATTGTTGCCGAAAGTGGGATAAATACAGAAATATCACTAAAAGTAGGGATTTATGGCAGAATCTATAATTTTTTATTGTTAAGTATAATTCCCGAAAAGCTCCAGTGTAGAAAATGAAAGAACCTAAAATACGAGCGTAGTCGAACTAAAATTTTTGTTTGGTATCCATAATAATTCAAAGAATAAATTGCAAAATTGGTCGTAGAATAACGCAGAATCCATAATTTATAATGTAAAACTAATTCAGAATTCTTAAATTTTAGTTACGGAATTTGGATTTTGTCACGGGAAGGTTTATCACTGCATAAAATCATCGTCCCTGATAGAGATAGTCGTTGATAACACTAGGACGGTTGTATATGTTATGTTACTCATCGTTAGTGTTATGAACTTGATGGCAATTGTTAAAAATATCACTTTTATAGTTGAAATTTGAATATTACTTATAGTAGAATGATTTCGTTGACGACATAACACATTGGACAAAACATACTAGAATTCCAAATGCGAATCTTGGTTATAATCCTGGCAAATATTTACAGTAAACCTATCATCAAAAGAGATTCCGTTAAAAGTTTGTTGTCCGGTTATTATTTGGCTGTTAGTATGAACGGTTAACTTTATAATCCTTCAAGAGTAACATATCAATAACTTTTTTTTCGGACTCGAAGTGATCAAAGAACAGAGATGTATGCATTATGTAAAATTTTTTGCAAGATGTTTTCGTTGTAAAGAAGTCCGAAATTATACGATGTAATGAATTAATTGCTTTCCTACTCTAATTATGCCACTTGAAGATTTTTAAGAATGATGAATTCTTGTTACAATTCGCAGTATCTTTTTTAATGATTTTTGTCACTTTTAATTAGTGCCCGAGATCGATTTAGATATTACTACAGCATAGTACGTAGAATTTCTTATAGGTTAGATCAATTTTAAATCATATAATAATAATTATAACTTGGTTGGATAAATTTTGTATTATTAATAAATGTGAGACACGAAAGGTATCATAAGTATATGTACAAGGTTCAATATGATTCTTTATATAAATTTGACATCATATATAAATATCTATAAGTGATACTTTCTTTATATTGATATATCCTGTAAGTTTTTTCACAAGGCTTAAATATTTCTATGTTATTATTCAATCCAATTTCGAATGCTTTACAATTTTACAAAAAGGTTCTTTATATTTTCTAAACCATATAAGTTTTTCTATAAAATCTGAATATTAATATTATTTAGCTTTAATTTTCCAATGCTTTTTACTTATTAAATATTTAACTATCTTTACCCATAGGGTATAATACCCGGTATAATAATTATATAGAGCTCTATATATATATTAAGGTTAGGGTAAGATTTAGAAATATGTGTGGTTATGTGCAAAATTAGGTGCTGAACAATTTTACTTAAGATACCTACATATGGTTACCTTAGTAAAATTTTGAGATATTGAGGAGTTTTGATTTTTTTTTCTTATACCGGGTATTATACCCACCAGGTACAAATAGTAATTCTCTATAAAAAAATGATCGATATTTTTATAACTAATCATAAAAAAACCTACTATGCTTGGCCTTACTATATTACATTATTTTTGTACCAATGCCATTAATAGAATTTAAACACCTTTAATCCGGAATTTGTTACATTTTACTTGTCTTAACGCCGGTCCCATAATAAATGAAAATGACATTTACCTATTTTATTATTCCAATTTTAGATTGAAGCATCCACCTCGACGCGATTTAATAATGAACGAAATAGTGCACAAGTATCATGACATAATTTTAGCTACTTTCATATAATTTTAGATAAGTTAATAGTACGAATAATGATATTAGAGATGTGCTCAAGTATGAGTATTGATGGTTATTACCGTGATTTCTAACAATTGTGGTGATGCTCAATTGCTACGGTAGATCAAAATAAGCTCTCAATCACTGCTTGAGTAGATTCTAAATGGTTTAAAAACAAAACCTAATAATAACGAATATCGCAATAAAATATATAAAAACGCTTGAACAGTAACTCTATTTATTTTAAAAATTTTGACAAAAAAAAAAAGATAGTTCGGGGGCAATAGTTTTTTTGACTAAAATGATAAACTCACTGATCATTTTCACTATTTAAATTTTTCTTTTTGACGCAATGAACTACATGTTTCGTACCTTATTATTAGGGATGTTAAAAAGCTCAAATATGTTTATTTGACACATACCCATAATATGCTTATTCATCACACCCCCATGATTCACATATTCACCAGCCACACAATACTTAATATGTGACAAATAAGTGATATAATGAAAAATAGCTTGCATGATATGTGATAAATATTTGTAATATGTGATAAATATTTGTAACAAATAATTAAAATGTGATAAATATTTGTGACAAATAATTAATATGTGATAAATAACTAAAATATAGATGCCGTAACAATAGAATACAGACTTTAAATAATGTTAATACATAAGATAGCTATGCAGTGTATAATGCCACGCTGGACCAGCATGATCATATACGTATCTAAATTTTATATGATAAATATTTGATTCATATCCTGAGTAGATTGTATAGTGAAGGGCATATTATCTGCGGCATTATGTGAAGTATATTAACCTTCATGACAAAACTTCTATACCTTTTAATTATGATAACAAAATATTTCCAATCATAAGTATCAATTTCCCATGAAAACTATGCAAATACGATTATGTGGGTACTCCTATATTAAAATTCTGAGCTAAAGACTCTAAAAATCTTGGTCCAGATTTAATACAGTCACAGGATCTCGAAATGCAACAAACGCGCTATGCAATATAGTTGTGCTAAAATCAGGAATGCGATGCAATTAAATTTAATCAAGAATATGCTTTGTGCAAGATAATAAATTTCATAAATCATATAATTACTGTCAAGGAAAAACTTCAAACCAGAAATCTAAATTTATTATTATTATATCAGAAATGGCATTTTTAGTGATATATTTTTTGCAAAATTCCAATTGATTGGACTATGTATTA